AACTAATAGTCTGGGCGTTAACGACATATTTCATTGTACCATTTCCGCAAGCTTCATTCTTTTTGTATGTGTTATGCGTGTAGTATATGATAGTAATATGAACGTCTGTCGGCGCTAGTGTTTCACAAGACAAGATTTCTTGTCTTGCTGGGCCTATTCTTGTCTTGTCTTGCAAAGCAAGACAAGAAATGAAATTCATTCTTGTCTTGCCCGACTCTTGCAGAAAAAAATCTTGTCTTGCAAACAAGATTTCTTGCAATTTCTTGTTCTTGCATTATTTGTTTTGTGACGTCATAGCAAGAGTTTTGCTTGCAAGAGTCTTGTTGCAAGATTCTTGATGCAAGACTCTTGCATTATTCATTACGTTCAAACGCGTGCCGGGGGCGTGAATGGTATAAAAACACAACGGTTTTCTACCACACACTGCGATTTTCGAACGACGTGTTTCATCGCGGCGATGAAACACGTCGTTCCAAAACCGGAGTGTGTGGTAGAAAAACACGACGGTTTTCTATCACATACTTCGGTTTTGGAACGACGTGTTTCATCGTGGCGATGGAAATCGTCGTTCCAAAGCCGAAGTGTGTGGTGGAAAAACACGACGGTTTTCTACCACATACTTCGGTTTTGGAACGACGTGTTTCATTGCGACGATAAAAACCGTCGTGTTTCATCGTAGTCTGTGGGGCCCTTTATTGGGCCCCATACACTACGTTCTTTCTCATCGGTTTTCATCGCGACGATAAAACACGTCGTGCCAAAACCGAAGTGTGTGATAGAAGAACACGACGGTTTCCTACCACACACTTCGGTTTTGGACCGACGTGTTTCATCGCGGCAATGATGAAAACCGATGTGAAAGAACGTAATGTATATAAGATTATTATTGGTGTCATTGTCATTAATAACGTGGTTGTCATCTTTACTGGTTTAAAGGCTTTTTTTCGAGGAAACAGTTTCAAAAACCATTTTAAAACAGTTTCAGCTCTAACGTCACTATTTTATGCACTACAATGCTAACAGACCTTAAAACAAATTCGACTTGACTCCTTGATGGTTGAAAACGAAAAGGCTTTCACATTGAGCTTAAAATTCAATATTGTGTGTGCAGTGTCGCTGTCCATCATGACCAATAATTTTCCTAGCTATACTTGCTGCAGGAACTGTTAGAAACTAACATCTGTTTGAGTGTTTTGAAACTACAATTTCAAAACGTTTTGTCGCAAAAAAATGCCTTTAACTTCATAAACTGACATGCTGACATTTTTATCTCGTTGTTAGCTACCGCAACGTTGCCAAAATTAATTCAAAAATATGCAGAGAAGGAGACTTCATTTTTTTGCAAGATTTCTTGCAAGATTGCAAGAGTCTTGCGGAATAATTTCTTGTCTTGCTTGGCAACTTCTTGTCGGAAGACAAGAAATTTAAGAGAGTCTTGTCTTGTTCTTGCAGCAAGAACAAGACAAGAACAAGAAATTTGCAAGAATCTTGTGAAACACTAGTCGGCGCACCAACACGACAGGGGGTTACAGGAGGGTTACAATTACAGCAAAAAATGAACGAAAAAACTTATAGAAGCATAAGCGAAACTTATTGTACGTATTAGTAGAAACATAGAAAGCTCAGAAAATATGGTCTGCCACCTAAATTCCACAACAAAAGTCGTCTGCCACCCACATAAGTAAGAAATTTTAAAAAAATTATACCCACAAGGCTGAAATTATTTATTTTTACAGTGAGTTTGAGAAGTGTCAAAAAGAGAAAATAAATATTCCAAGTGAAAATTTTCACTTCCATTTTGAGTGTACGCGATGAATCCTTCTATAATCTCTTTAAAAACTCTAGAACATTAGACTTGAGCTTTTAACAATTCATTTTGGTTAGCCTTAGAAAAAATAAATAAATAAATAGGAATAAGAGAAAAATGCAGCTTCCTAGCGGTGGTGCTCGGGCACTACATGCCGAACCCAACTTCATAGGCTTGGCAGACGATCTTCTTTGTATCTCTTCCGTGGCAGGCTATTATGTTTGTGTTTGTTTCCATAAAAAGAAGTATTTTAATTAATTTCAGCCTTGCGAGTATATTTTTTGTGTACCAAGGCCGTAAAGTTGATCTTTTTTCAGGTGAGGCCAAAAAAGATCATTCGGCCGAGTTGCACACAAAATTTTTTAGGCGAGTGTTTGTTCTTGAAAAAAGAAGAAAATTCAACAGTAGCTTTAAACTTTATTGATCAAAATTGCCGACTTTTTCGCCTGGTATCTTACATTGAGCTTTTTTAAAAAAGCAATCAATTTTGAAAACTTGCTGATATTTTAGGTATTTCCGACTATAATTGTAAATTTTAACATAGAGTATAACATAGGTGGACCTGAAGACCATAACGTTGAGGATTATTTAATTTTGGCATTTTCCGAAAAAAATGCAAGAAAATACTTCTCCCAAATTTTTAATCATGCCGTTTTTTTTAGCATTTTATGTGGAAATTTGGATAGAGCTAATATTAAAAACTTGGTTTCATTGTGGTTGCTAACTAATTGTTTATTTGTTGTGTTGATGGTTACGGCACTGCGTTTCCGATTGTTTGTTTATTTTCACCAAAGTAGCGGCCGTAAAGTAAAAGCGGCCGTGAAGTAAAAGCGGCCGTAAAGTAATAAAGCAAATGCGGCCGTGAAGTAAATGCGGCCGTAAAGTAAATGCGGCCAAAAAAGATATACTTTAGGGATGATATTGAATCCGTAAAACTAATCTTTTTGTGACAGTCGCCTAAAAATAACTATTTTTTAATTTTTTTTTTTGCGCTTACTTATGTGGGTGGCAGACGACTTTTGTTGTGGAATTTAGGTGGCAGACCATATTTTCTGAGCTTTCTATGTTTCTACTAATACGTACAATAAGTTTCGCTTATGCGGCTATAAGTTTTTTTCGTTCATTTTTTGCGGTAATTGTAACCCTCCTGTAACCCCCTGTCGTGTTGGTGCGCCGGCAGACGTTCATATTACTATCATATACTACACGCATAACACATACAAAAAGAATGGAGCTTGCGGAAATGTTACAATGAAATATGTCGTTAACTCCCGGACTATAAGTTCGAATTACCACCACCGAAATACTTCGAATTTCGCGAAATACTTCCGAAATACCGACATTTTCGCAATACGTGTACACATTTTTACAGAGTGGTTGACCCCTCGACTTTTGGTTTGTTCATAATTTTGTATAGTATCATTAGTACATATTATACTTAATATTTTCGTATTCGTTTTGAAAGAGGGTTCTCCATTATTCAAGCATCAGCTCTTTGCCATCAAGAAGAATTAAAATTGCCACCGGTTCAGCTGCAGTGCAGACGTAATTGAACTTGAACAGAGTACAGAGAATACCTCGGTTCCAATATTAAGGGTACTTACTGCCAGTATTAGCATATGCAAACCTGATGTAAACTCTCAATTTCTTAATAGTATACCGTGTCAATATTTAGAGAAGATCATGTTCGTATGGGAGGGTACTCGGAGGAATGGATTTCCAAGTATAGTGAGTTTAATTTCTTTAGAAAGTTTAGAATGTCTCGAGACTAGGGATGCCAGATATTTGAGTTTTGAAAATAGGAGAGCCTGTATAAAATTATATGAGATTGGATAATAATATATGAGAATATTTTATCTATTGCAAAATACCCATATCCGAGAAAGCTCCCATCTTGACAATTAGCTATGACTTTTAGCAGATCTTGGATTGTATTGCTGGACATATTCTTTCAGGTAGTTAAAGACTCCTCCTGATCCGATCCGTCAGTCTCACTTCTTGTAACAAGTTGTGGACAACAACACAACAACTTAAGTTTTTTGATCTTTAAACAAATCCCTGAATCAAAATCGTTTTGTTTTTAAAAGTAAAATATTTGAATTTGAAGATCCATTATCAACCAGTTTAAGCTTAAAACGCAAATTAGGAATTGGTTTATTGTTTTGTTTACATTTCACTGTTCACCATCAGTGAGTCAAAAAGTAAGGTGAAAAACGACGATCCAAAAACGGAAGAAGTTAAAATTATTTCATTTCAACTTTGTCCGAAGTAGGAGAAAAGTTGAAAATATTCGGATAAAATGTGGCAGGAAAAACAGCCAATAGGAGCTCCCTCGTACAATCGGACGGTCGGATAACGAACGCATGAGACTAATGAACGCTCCGGCCTATCACGGGTATGGTAGTGATAAAGTGAAATACATGGTTTCATTTTTTTTTTTTTTGATGAAAATATGAGAAATAGTCTCATATCAAACATGCTAATATGAGATATGAGAAACAGTTCAAATATATGAGTCTCATATTAAAAATAGGAGGTCTGGCAACCCTACTCGAGACACATTTTCCAAATTGATAAATTCTGTTGGCAATATTAGGGAAACATTCTGAAAGGCAAAGTTTGTTTGTTTACTATTGCTTACTATTTAAATCAAGACCACAATCACAATCAAGTAATCAAGACTGGATTCAGGACCAGCCTTTCGAGCTGGTCGCCGCTACAGTGGTCGCTGCTGGTCCTCAATTTTCAGGACCAAAAGCTGTCATGACGTCATGTAAATTTACAGAAAACTGTAATGGCCACTTTTCAATATAAACTGGTTGGATAAACCAGTTGCTGCAACCCAGATGGCAACCCTATTTCAACAACCATACAGTGACTCTATTACCACAGTGGTGAGAATTATTTTGATTGGTTCCTTCAAATCCTATCTATATATTCATATTGAAAACGGCGCCATTTTGTTCGCCACCTCTTGTTGATTTTAAATATGAATATTATAGAATTTGGGTGAACATCCATTATAAAAAATTGAAAACAACGTATTTGATGATGAACCTAATAAAAGTAATCAAATACGTTGTTTTCAATTTTTTATGATAAATGTCCATTCAAATCCTATATTCATATTTGAAATTAGCAAGAAGTGGGGCACAAAATGGCCTCGGGACCTCTGTCGCCACTGATTGTTAAGGTTTATTAAGTCACTGTAACCAACCATAGAGGACCTTGCGGACAATAGTCACTTCCAAAATAAGTAAATTATTTTTATTTTTAAAAACAAGAACTATTTTGTACTGGTACCTTCTCATATAGTTATATTGAATTTCAGGCATGTTGTGTTTTTTTGCCTATATTTAGTCTATACAATCAGTTGTGTTAAAATTATACAATAGAAGGTAAGTGAGCTTGAAAAATTCGAGGTTAATTCTATCCCTAGATTCTATCTAATTTCAATTTTTCTCATAATTTTTAAAGGAATTTGTTTCTAGATAATGAACTAAATTATTCACTTACCCTTATCTGCTTAAAACTGCCTGATTTCACATACCCTCCAGCTCTCTATAGAGCATTTTTCTTAGTACTCTCCATGATAGTCTCTATAGATATCTTCAAATTGTAATTTGTAAATACTCTAAATACAAACAAAAACATAACCTCTTTGCCTTTTGTAGAGTAGCAAAGTGAGCAAAGTGGAAATTAGAAAGTGGCACTTGATTTGAATTTAATTGTAAATTCGTGAAAATGGAAAAAGAAAGCTTTAAAAAATTTGGCAGTCTCACAACACTTTGTAGAAAAATCATTGAAGAACCGCGTGATTTGAAATTGCTGGAAGAATTAAAAAGAATGATTCAAGAAGCCCCCCAAACTTTCATTAGGGCTGCTGAAAAGCCCTTGATTATGAGTTTCCTTCCTTTTATGCAAAATCGAGTGCAAAATCCTTCTAATACTAAGGAAAATGGGTAAGATATTACCATACATAGAAACTTTACAATTCGATATAAAATGTATTTAACATAGGGTGAAAGTACCTGTTATCGGCCACTTAAGGCAAATTCTGGAATAAAATGGCGATTGAAAATTAGTGGATATAGCGAATCGAATCAAAATAATGTTTTATGATACCTTATAGTATATAAAATTGATTCCTGCAACAAAAAAAGGTTAAAAGGTTTTGCATTTTTGTAGAAAAATGCTTTATTCAAAAAAACGTGTATTTTGCCGGTTGTCGGACAATCATTACATTTCTCGGACACAAAGGGACCCGTTGTCGGACACGTGTCCGAGAAATACGTTTTCTCGTCCACATAAACTAGTACATGCTAAATAGTACCAGTTTGGGCACTTCTCACAACCAATATTTTATTTTGGAATTTTTAATTTTCTTCCATCATTGTTTGCATTTTTTTTGGTATTTTGTTTCTCTAGTCCTCTTGTTTATTTTTTTGTACTTCAAGTTTTTTTTTTTTTTTTCTCATTCCTTTCTTCCATAATATGATCTCCATGCCTTCAATGAGATGGCACTTGGTAAATTCTCTTTTTTTTTGTATTCTTGGCTCTTATTTGATAGGTTCCGGAAATTGGGGGTGGCGACTGAAAGGACTTACAGCAACGGCAACATTTGGCAGTTTAATGGGAGTTTTTTCGAGCCTCCAGTCCTATGTCTGTTGTTTTATCAGGTTTCTCAGTTCCAGGATAATCACTTTGATCTTTAGAAGATTTTTCCATTGCTTCTTCAATTTCTATCTCATAAATACTTTTATCAGATTTATTCTCTGTACACTTGTAACACTTTTTTAATAAAATGAAAGCAGAAAGCACTACCCCATACCCCATACCCATATAAGTAATGTAAAATGTCCGAGAACTTTACACCTACCTTTTCTCGGACACCTTTTCAGGTATACTACAATTTGACGCCTTTGTGGTTTATAGTGTCCGCAAACTGGTCCATAGAATCTCGATACAGTCTTCTAATGTATCTAATAAGGAAAATTAAGTTGAAAATCAAATAGGCTAGAAAAATATACATACCTATAGTTTCAACGTGCCGGACCCATTGTCGGACAGAGTGGCCGAGAAGAGGAGTCTGCCGATTTATAGGACCGGTTATCCGGACATTTAATAAAATAAACAAAATATTAATATTCATTTAATTTTTATGGTTATAATCGTAGATTAACATGTTTATAACTTAAAAACATCAACAAAATATCGAAAAATGGAGTAGGAACATTTTTACTTACTATTTCCTTCTTAGCTTCACACTAGCAAACTTTTTCACTTGATCAAAAGGGCTGTGTTGGGGAAAAACAGCAGACATAATTATTATTTTTCTTAATTTGGTCTAGGCCCGTAAAGAGGACGGTATTGCAAAAACTGGTGGGGAAATAGTGTCTGAAAGTAGGTATTACTCTAAAAAGGGGTTTGATATAATATTTTCCTATTTATTGGATATTTTGTCATAAACTGTCCGACAACAGGTGGCCAGCTAACAGGTACTTTCACCCTACCTACGTTATTAAAATCATGTAAACCCCATCTGAATGTTTTGAAGCCCAACTTCTTGATTTTTCTTTGCTTCAAATAAATACTTTAATTTGTTTGTTAGCATTTCAGAAAAAGGAAAATTGCTTATTATAGAAACTTTGAATGAGCTATTGGATAAACTAATAATTGATAAATGCAATCAATTTTTCAATTTTTATACATTTTTATTGTTGGAGTTGTATAACTATAAAGATCACAAAGGTTAGTAAATTACTAAACTAATATTTTTGTCAAGTGTGTTAGTGCTGCAAATTAATAGTATCTAATATATATTTTAGTTCTCCCTAGTACTGAAGAATACAAATTAGCAATCCTGAAATGCATGACCTCACTGATAAATTCAGTCTCCCCAGACATACTGGAAGAACTCTATGTCAAAGAAAATGTACCTAAATTTTCTCAAATAGTTTATGTTTGCAGTCAAATTGCTGAAGACGATGTTGCAAGAAATATTAGAATCAGTGCGATAACATGTATAATGGCTATGGCTCGTGTCTCGAATCCTGAAGATATTAGTGATACAGTCATCCAAAGAGACATTGCAAACGTTTTTATGTTTTTCCTTCCAGGGTTACAGCGTACCCTTCCTAAAATTGCTTTAGAAGATCCTAAAGTAGGGCATGTTATTCCAATGGTAAGAATAATAATTACTCGAATAATTACCTATTAATTATTAATTACCTAACTACAAAATTTTAGATGTCAATAAGAGCCCTAGGAAGAATTATAAATTTGGTGATGCAGGATTTTAATTCAGCTGATGAAAAATTCAATTATAATGAAAAATTGTTGTTAAAAGACTATAAAAATATTTCTTTAGTGGGAAAGTTGAACAGTAAAAAGGAAATTGATCAATATATGCAAAATACTATAAGAAATTCGCATTGGTATAAAGACACAGACGAAAAATTGAATATTTCGTTGAAGAAACTTGGAAAATTAACTTTTCATAGGCATCTCAAAGTTAGACTAGAAATGGCTGATATGGTAATAACTATAATCAAAAACTGTGTAACGTAAGAAATTATAATTATTTGTATATCACGAACAGACATTTTGTAATAAATTTATTTTTAGGACAATGCCTCAGTCAAGTTGTACTTTGATAGAACATTTAATAATCCTCTCTCAAGATGCAGATGCTAAGGTAGCAACAAAAAGTATAAACGCTATCCAAGACTTGTCCAAAAGCTTGTCCGCCGATCATTTAAAAGCTTTACTAGAGACCTTAGAGGATGGATTTTATAATGCTATTAATAGTTTGCCAAGGAAATTAAATACTATAGGTAACTAAGTAGTGCTTTGTCATAATAATTTCACTATAATAGATACATTTTTTTAGATGAAGCTGAGAAAATAGCTACACTAAATTTACTCATCGGCTATATTAAGTTGTTTGGTAAACACAATATGATTAACGTTCTAATATCCCCTGATATGTTAAAATCTTTAGTAGACGGGCTTTTGCATATAGTAGAACTTGAACGGAAAAATATAAGTTTGTTGGAGGAATACACTTTTAAAGGTAATTATTGTTATGGAAGTGTCTATGGTTCTCTAGATCTGTAAATTTTTTCTGAAATGTTGTGATCTAATGAAATTCTAAAATTTTCAACTGTGTTAGCTTGGTGAATTCCGAGGTGAATTCACTCTGAAGCAAGTTGTGTGAAACACTATAGTTATTTTTTCTACTACCTTACTAGAAAAGGTAATTTTTGACCTCTAAATGAGATAGGAAAAAACCATTTTCTTCCCTTGTTTAGGAAAAAAAAAAAAACATTTTCAGCCCTGGGAACAGAAATTCTCCCCTCTCCCCTCTAAACAGAAATTTTTACAGAAATTTTCTTCTATTTAAATAATTATTAAACCATCTTTCCAGAAAATTTGTAGGTATCCAGTGTCCCCCATAATGTTTCCGCTACATATGGGGAAATCTTTTATTTGTAGGATATGGAATTTTTTCTTATGTGCTATCGATCCTGCATGTCTGATCACGTCTAAAGTGTATTCGAAAAAGAGTTAAATTTTACCCAAGGTTGAAAGTGGGTATATGGTCACGTGGTCAGAAGAGTAAATTTTAATTTTAAGTAAAGTAAAATTTTATCTTATCAAATAAAAAAAAATCCCATATGTAGTGAACATTATGGGGGACACTGGAAATAACTTGAAGTAGGTACAGTACAGGCCACAGGGTGTCCGAAGTTGGATGGTTTTAATAGGAAACATCAATTTCTGAGCAAGATACAAAAAAATGAACCCCCCACTCCGAGGCTTCGATTTCTGAAATTTTGATTGGTGCAAACCGCATTTTGATATCTTCAACCGTTTAGCCGCTAGAGGGCGATTCTCGATTTTGAGCAATAATGTGAAACCATCATAACTTTTTTGTTTATAAAAATTATTGATTTCCGTATAAACTTTCTAGAAACACTTTTTCAAGCAGAATTCAGTGACGTTCTCAGTTTTTTTCTAGAAACTGAGAAAGGTCTCTTTCTAACTCATTGTTTCTTATGACAAAAACCGAAATAGTTTTTTTTCTCGAAAACTGTTAGAGATAAACCTATCGAAATTTGTATCATTGAAATCAGCAAAAGCAGAGCTTTCTAATGAGCTATTAATATACAGTGAGCACGTAAAGGTTGGAATAAAATCTATAAAATATACAGGGTGGATGTTTTTCAAAAAACCTCGGACACGTCAATTTTTGATTTTGGTGGCCTTTTTTTTGATGATAATACCATGTATACAGGGTGTCCCATGGTGGATGGCGTATTAGACGTTTATGGAGAACTAAAAAGCGAATCTTTTTGAAAATTTGGCAACCGGGATAAACGACCATGATCTACACTTTAAAATAGTATATTATATACCTAGGTAGAGAAGTTGGTCATTATATACCGAGCGCTTTTATAAACCGAGGCGCGGAGCGCCGAGGTTTATAGTGTGTGAGGTATATAATGACTTTCTCTACCGAGGAATATATAGAATTTTTTTTACTACTAATAGTAGAAAATAAAAAAAATATTCAAAATCTGTGCTCTTAATTATTTTTTTGAACGCCCTTTTGAAAGTGCTGCCCTCTAACAACAGCTTATGATAACTTCCTATATGTACCTACAGAAACCTGTATTTTTTTTTGAATTGACGTATGAAATTGAAATTGGACCAATAGAAACATGACAATATCCTTGCATCATGACGTCATTTTCATTATTGACCTAGGTATTTTTTCATTATTTTCATTATTAACCTAGGGAGAGAAATTCAATTTTTTCCTAAAAAAATAGATTGAATAATGACTATTTTCTCAGGTTAGTAGTAAAAAAATATTTTTGTTTATGCGGTGTTGTCGCTTCTACTCTTAACCAGTGGCAACATCGCTATTTTAAATGGAATACCCTGTATGTGATTGCATATTTGGATTCTACGTAAAATTCTGAGCTGATTTCATGTGATATACCCTATACCTAGGTTCAACTGTTTTGGAAATATTGACAGTTGAAAATTGACTTTTTGCAACTTTTGACAGGCTGTAAAACCTGAACGGTTAATTTTAGAGAAAAACCGATTTTACATTCCTATCTTAGATTTTCATGAACTATCATTTGACACCAACTTTGAATTTAACCGGAGATTAAATTTAATTGGAATTTTTAATCATGGATTAAATTCAAAGTTGGTATCAAATAATAGTTCATGAAAATCTAAGATAAGAATGTAAAATCGTTTTTTCTCTAAAATTAACCGTTCAGGTTTTACAGCCTGTCAAAGTTGCAAAAAGTCAATTTTCAACTGTCAATATTTCCAAAACAGTTGAACCTAGGTATAGGGTATATCACATGAAATCTGCTCAGAATTTTACGTAGAATCCAAATATGCAATCACATACAGGGTGTTCTATTTAAAATAGCGATGTTGCCACCTCGGTTGCCACTGGTTTAGAGTAAAAGCGACAACACGTCATAAACAAAAATATTTTTTAAATGTAGATCATGGTCGTTTATCCCGGTTGCCAAATTTTCAAAAAGATCCGCTTTTTAGTTCTCCATAAACGTCTAATACGCCATCCACCGTGGGACACCCTGTAAAGGGTGACTCAAAAACAAGTTATGACAGCTAACTTTTTTTTTTTAATGAAAACACCAGTATTTTATTTCATTTTCAAATTCTTCGTTAAATTCTGAACCTATTTCATGTGTCATGTCCTGTCAACTGTTTCAGAAATATTGACAGTTGAAAATTGACTTTTTTGCAAATTTGACAGGCTTTACGTTCTAAAGCCTGTCAAATTTCACCATATTAGTTAGGTTAAGAAAAATCGGGCGCGAAATTTAAAATGGGTTCCTAAACACATTTCAACAAATTTGACAGCAATGTATTTCTTATGGGGGATTCAAAAGAGTGATTTTCAGACGGGAATATCTTGGGTTCTTCTTAGTAGCATTTCTTAGTATTTGAACCTATTATAGGTCAAACTTTGAACATATTTCTCTATAATTCATGCTCTAATTGTTGTTTTAGTCCTAAGAATTAAAAATAAAAATGATTTTAATTAAAAGTGTCTGTTTTCGGTGGACGTACGTCGGGTCTAAAATCAGCTGTAAGAAAGTGAGGTTGTGTGTTGTGTTATGATTGTTGGTGAATTGTTTATTTATTTATTTATCACTAGTTCAGTCATTTGTTTTTCCATTTTTTTGGATTATTGAAGTACATCTACTAACCAAGTATGTAGGTACACTTTTATTTTATTATAATTATAGGTACCCATATATATACTTATGGATCAAGCAACGACATACGTATTTTATACAAACATCGGCTTCTTGAATTGGTAATATTTTTATTTTAACAATGTTTATTCAACTTTCAAACACTCTCTCAGTTAATTAACATATTTAAAAAACTATTTATACAACTCACTTCCCAAACAAACATTCTATCACGTCTACAGACGCTTTTAAAATTGAGTCCCCATAAGACATCAATTTATTAATTTTTGAACTAGGAACCCGCGCCAATTTGCGATTCTAACCTAACTAATATGGTGAATTGTACAGCCTGTCAAAGTTGCAAAAAAGTCAATTTTCAACTGTCAATATTTCCGAAACCGTTGAAGATAGGTATAGGACATGATACACGAAATATGTTCAGAAATTAACGTAGAATTTAAAAATGAAATAAAAAATTGGTATTTTCATTTAAACAAATAAAGTTAGCTGTCATAACTTGTTTTTGGGTCACCTTGTATATATGTTATTATCATCAAAAAAACGGTCAATAAAATCAAAAATTGACGTGTCCGAGGTTTTTTGAAAAATATTCACCCTGTATATTTTATAGATTTTATTCCAACCTTTACGTGCTCACTGTATAGGGTGTCCCATTGAAAAAAATCAGATTTTGGTCAATATCTTGAAATCGAGGCCCAATAGAAAAAAACTGAAAACGTCACTGAATTCTGCTTGAAAAAGTGCTTATAGGAAGTTTTTACGGAAATCAGTTGTTTTTATTAACAAAAAAGTTATGAAGATTTCACAGTATTGCTCAAAATCGAGAATCGCCCTCTAGCGGCTAAACGGTTGAAGACATCAAAATGCGGTTTGCACCAATCAAAATTTCAAGAAATTTGAGTCTCGGAGTGGGGGGTTCATTTTTTTGTATCTCGCTCAGAAATTGACGTTTCCTATTAAAACCATCCAAATGTATCCGCGGAAGGAAAAGCACTATTCCCCTCCTGTTTAGGACCAGCCTGTTTCAGTAGAACAGGCAAACTTAATTTTGCAATAAATTGACAATAAAAAAAAACGATTCATGATAAAGATTAAAAAATGGGTATAGGTGAGGTCTTCCCTCTGTGTCATGGTTTCTGGCTTACCCGGCCGGTGTTTCTTGATGCTACCAAAAATCGGCGTCTGAATAGTATTATTGAGCAAAAGTACATCCGATATCCAAAATCAGTGAGATTGATTGTGCTCCGCTCGTCACAAAAAACGAGGACTTGAACTAAACCGTGACGCTCAACTTGAGCCGTACCAAAGTTTGACTGTACCTTTTAACACTGTTGTAGGTTCGGGTTCCTCCATATCTCCATCGTGAGGTATTGCGCCCAAACCCTAAAAAAAGGTATATGTTTATACAAACCCAACACTCGATTCTTGACTCTTTGACGGAGTTATATTAATACCTATAAGTAATAATTACCTAATTCTGAACACCTCCCTTGGTATGTAATAAATAGCAAAGTAGCTATGGTTATTCATTAAGCTATTTGCTATTTCCATAGAAATTTCTGGATTTTACACTTTGTTTAACAAAAACGTGTTTCGTGTTTCAGATTTATCTTCAGAAGCAACTTTCAAATGTCCTTGGATAAATTTCCATTACTTTGAAGACTTCAAGGGAAAAAATCAAATTGATATATTATGTCAAGAGTTAGTGAAAAATAATTGTTTTCAAATGATTTACGAATCACTAACTCCCTTAATCCTTTACAACTCGGAATGTAAAAAAGAGGCCGTATATTTGCTTAATTCACACATTCTAGGTAAGTAATCATATAAGTTTGTAATAATTCATTCATCATGCATATACAAATTTTTAGGCCTAAAAGACATGCAAAATACCCATTTACCTATTTTAAAATCCATAATAAAGGCCTACACAGAAGATCCCCTAAATGATCTGAACACTTCACTAGATACTGAAGAATTTACTCTAGAAGAAATACAAGCAAACGTTATAACGATTTGCCTTTTAACTGAAGGGATTGGTAATATAAGTATTGTTCTAAAAGACAAATTCAAGCCTTGTCTTCTAGAAACTTTGTATATGGTTTTAGAGAAGGCAGGTGAGTTATTAGCGACTTAGGTATTGTAAATTCAGTATTCAAAAAAATTTCTACGAAGTTCAGTTTCATCAAAGTTGAGCTGTATGTATTTTTTTATTAAAAAAGTTTGATCTTTGAACCTATAATGTACAGGGTGGTACATATTGGACATTTTTGATAGGAAGCAACTGTTTCTAGAGGGGATAGGTAGAAATGAACTTGATTTTTAACAGAATTTCGATTTTATTTAATTTATTTATAAGGATATTCTATTAACAGGACTGAATACTAAGCACCGAGTAAGACAATATGCAATATGCAGTAAATATTTACTTCCTGTTTGCTAACTTTGAGTGTGTAGGTAAAGCATCCAAGACATTCGTGGCTTTAACGGTAGTAGTTAAGGATATTAAAAGCAAAACAGACATTAAAGTATTCCCTTCTGCAAACAAGAGTAGTTAAGTCTAAGTAAGTCATAGTCTGGTAAACGCTGAGAATCACACCACTCAGAGACAGTTTGTACCTGGCAAACTTGATAAATTTGTGTTGAACACTCCTAAGCCTATTGATGTGGATCTTAGTAAGGTGACCAAACTATGCAAGAAAATTCAAGAGTGGATATGACCATTGATGTTTAAAGAATTTTGATGGGACGTATACTTGTAAAGTCCCTAGTAGCTCTCTTAATAAAACCCAACATTTTACTAGCCCTGCCAATTACCACTTCAAAATGCTTGGTGAACATTAACCTAGTATCTAGATAGACACCAAGATCTTTAATGACAGAAACATCAGACAAGCGAACATCACCTAAGCAATACTGGAAGGGAACCTTACGGGTGAGTCTACTGAATATTATACAACAACACTTATCAATGTTGAGGAACATGTCATTAAGCTGACACCAGTCATCAGCGAAGAGTGAAAATTTTGAGGAGAGCAACGATCTTAAATCATTGATAAATAAGGTGAATAGAAGGGGTTCCAAGTGAGAGCCTTCGGGTACCCCAGAGGATGCATGGAAAAGAGAAAAAAGATAGCAATCGAAGATTTCATCCATGAAAGTAAGGATCCAGAAATACCATAACTTGAGAGCTTTGAAAGAAGGATGTTATGGTTTACCTTATCAAAGGCTTTACTGAAGTCAGTATATATTGCATGAGTTTCTGCATTGTTATCAAATGATATAAAATTTGTAAAGAGAAACAGGTTCATGTCAACAGATCTGCTGCTGTAAATCCATGCTGTTGACTGATCACAATCTGATGAAATATTTTTGAAAAAATATTTTCAACACACTGCTCAAATAATTTAGGAATTGCAGACAGGATGCTAATAGTCTGTAGTTTGTTACTTCATTCTTGCTGCCTTACTTGTGAATAGGACAAACATAAGAGAGCTTCTACATTTCTGGAAAAAATCCAGAGGTTAAGGATTTGTTAAAAATAATAAGAGGGAGATACAAAGTGTTATAGAACAAGATATCACTACTTTGTCAGGTTCTGGGTCCTGCAGACTTGTTGATGTCCACTTGCTTTAAAGCCCTCTCAATATCGGTTGGGTCTATGACAATGCTTGAAACATTCTCAAATCGATCAGCAAAAGTTCCAGCGTTGGAATTTCTCTGGGAGTTATAGACAGAGGAAAAATAAACACCAAATAGATTAGCTATGTCAACACCGTTGGACACTATTGCTGTCGCCAGAAACATTTCCTTAGGAATAGTACCCTGATTAGTTTGGGAATGAACAAAGTTTGAGAAAACTATCACATTAGTGCATAATATGGCCCTATCAGTATAACTTATGTATAATTTGTAGCACTCCTTGGTGCGGTTTTCACAATCCCTCTGAAGTGTGTTAAATTCAAAATAATCCACTTCACTATTCGACTGCTTGTATTATTTGTGAGCAATTTTCTTTTGAAAAATCAGGTTTTTTGGGTTTTAATAGAACATCCTGTATATTATTAAAGCCCTACTTCAAGCTGATGTCAACAATAACATTTTTTTTTTTGTATAATCTTAGGTACCTAGAAACAGGTATTCTATATCAGAAGCGTACAGTCTTGCAACTTTTTTTTCTTAAACATTTATTATCACAAATTTAAGTTCTATGATTTTTTAGGTAGTGGTCATCCTTTGATAAGTGTAGCAGGTTTACTAACTCTCCATAATTTAGTCAAATCTTGTGGATATAAAGATGAAGCAGACCTATTAAATTCAAATTTTGACTTCTTTTCGTTTCACGTTCAAAAAAAATTAACCAAACCAGACGATAAAGATGGAGTTTTGAATGTACTTTCAGTGGTTTTGCAGTACAGTAATGTTGATGTATTAATTCCTATGAAAAATCTTACAGAAGAGGTAAAAATTGCTGAAAACCCATTATTTTTAATCAAAATATTTTTAAAAAGGTTCTAGTGATATCCTGTGATAGATTCAAAGAACAGTATGCAACAGCATACTTGAGAGTCTTTAAAATGTTCATCATGAGCTTACGCAGATGGTTTATTGTAGATGATTATTCGGAAAAAACAATAAAATCTCGTAAAGAAAAAGAATTGGAACAAGAACATTATAAGGTATCAGGATTTGATGAGAGCAATGATTTTTCTGATGACATAATGGGAGGCAAAAGTGCTGAAGAAATGTATAAAGAAGATATGGAGAAAATCGAACAAGACTGTGATGTTATGGAAGAAAAAGAAAAACCTACTCCACCAATGCATGTACAATTAACCACATTAATCCTTACCAGAAGCCTACATTTCTTGCCATCGAAAATCCAATCTAGAAAGTTTCTGGTGCTAGAAATTTTAGAAAAAGGAATTGAAATTTTAAGAGATTGGGAAGATGAACTGCTGCCAGTTATCCATCAAATATGGTCACCTCTAATGCCAAGATTTAGTGAAGATAGTGATGCTATTACAATGAGGTTGAGTATCCAATTGGTTGCAACAATGGCCAGATTATCGAAAGATTTTATCCATAGGAGATTTATTCAGTAAGTATAATTTTATGAAACTAGAATTGAGTTATCATCAGTGATTTTCAGAGAGCTTTTGCCTAGACTCAAAGACATTTTAGAGAAATCAGCCCAAACTAGCTATCTAAAAGATAAAGGGTCAACTTACAGATATAGTCAAAATTATAAATTGCAAGTAGAACTATTATCAAAAATTGGACCAATTTTGTATGATGTAGATGTCATGCCAGAGACTATTAGTGATGTTATTGATAAAGTTCAGTTTTATCTTTCTGATAAGCAACCAAAGGAATTGCAAGTAAGAAAAAGTTTTATTTTTCATTTTGAAGTTCTTAACTTTTTGGTTTTCAGGCAGCGGCTGTGGGTTTTTTTAAAATGATGTTGATATATGATATGAATGCAGTGAAAACAAAAATAATAACCATACAATCTTTAAGTGTAGAGTATATTAAGAATATTGAGAGGATACAAAAGTATATGGAAGAAACAACCGACATCAACTGAATGAATGTCTATTGAAAACAATCCCCCAGTTATATTAATACTTGATGAAAAAAACTTATGTGATTAAAAAAAAAAAAGACGAATAGTTATCTTGCATCAAATCAATAAACTTGAAGGGATCCAAAAAAAAAAAACGCCCCGCTACCGAGAAATTTCTTATGTAAGAAGCTCTTTGACTAACATAATAAAGAACCTACACTAAGTCTCCACAGTGAGGTAATCACAAATTTCTTCGGGTCTGGATCAGAGGACTATAGGATATCCATTAGACTTCGAGTGAATGGGGTTTTCATTGAGCTTGTTTACCATTTTTCCCTGAAGCTTGGAGTATGTGATTGGGGCATGTGACATTAAACATTATTATTTTAAGCTTGCCATAAGTTCTAAATAAACGAATAAATAAAAGTAAGACTAAGATTATTTTTTATTTTAGAAATAATCTCGAAAAGGATCATCAATTTTTAAGCTCCCCAATTGAGATTATCAACATTCTACTAACTAACCCAAACTAACCCAAACTCATATTTAGGGTTGTTTTCTTTTGTCTCTAAAAATGTTACGCTAATGGCCAAAATATCCTGGGTGCGAGGAAGTTTCACTTGCAGACAAAATCATATAAGGGTTAGAAGAAAAACAAAAATATCCTATTTTTTAGATAATTGTATTTATAATACAAAAACATTGCACACTTTCTACATAAAATTAAACTTTTTACACTTGTAAAAAATAACAACAGAGTCATACTCCTTCAATTAAAAATAATTATTACCAATACATATTACTTTAACTATAGTCTATCTGCTACTTCACTAAAAAAAAAAACAAGGACAGTCTTGATACAGCTACGCCCTCACATTGTTGATTAATTAGCTTGTACAATACAATTATGTTTAGTTAACAAGGATTATAGGAAGAGTTGCATGAAGCAACTTTGTTGGCATTTTAATGTGACAGAAGAATTAATAATTATTGTTATCCTGTACATACAATTAAAATTAGAAATATTTTGGGGTTGAATAGTATTGATTGAGTTATTAGTATGGGAATATGCTCAATGTCTGTACAAATAATTGTAGTTTCTGACAAAAATCACTATGTCGCTTCATTGAAAGCGAATACCATCTTACATGGTTCGGACTTAGTTTGCGCATAGATGTACAAACCTATAGCTTTTAACAGTCAATGTGTTCAACGATCCTTTCACTTTTCATGGGTATCTTCCCATCCTAATAACTCAATCAACGATATTGAATGTATTTTTTAAATTATGCTATACTTTATCACAGATATTTAGATATAATAATTCAAACTGCAGGGCACGAAATGTTCAATAAATGATTTAAATATAATAGTAATTTACCTTACCAAGGCCGGGAAGCGACTTACTAAAGTAAGAGTTGAGATGTATATGATTTAAGAATTTCATAAATTGTGTTTTAATAATACCTCCACCTGTGCCTAATACAAAGTTTTCTTCCATATTGACAGTTAATGCTGAGTCTGGTAAATTGCTCAATACAGTACAGAGTATGGAACAAAAAAAAATACCGGACTATAATGAGCAATTTTCTGGACTCCATGGAATGAATAATTGTGGTTATTTTCAAACGTCATATAATAGTAATTGATGTGTCGATTGGGATAAGTGTTGCATTATAGCTATTCATGTACCAAGGGGATTATGTAGATTATAATGCCCGAAGGTGAAACTAGCCGGAGGGATATATTTCGCTTGAGAGGCATTATAATCTAAAAATCCCCATAGTGCATACAATACTTTATTTTCTACTCAACACAATGTTCTTTCATCAATTTAGTATCAAACAAAATCAGTTAAACTTGTTTGACAGAATATTGTTTTGTATTTTGGCATGTACCTGTACCTAGAAACGAAACAATTTAATATATCTATAGTATAAACATCTCATAAGGCAAGGCAACGGTGGTCGTGTGGGTTAACACACTCGACTACATGGGAAACGTTGATTGTGGACCGAGTTCGAATCCTGGGGCCTTATTCTCTAAGGAACTAACCATCCGATTCGGTAGAATTTCTTCGATTGTGACGTCATTTTCGGTTTGCTTCTCGCGCTAACAAACTGAAAATGACGTCACAATCGAAGAAATTCTACCGAATCGAACGGCTCGTTCCTTACAGAATAAGGCCCCTGGCCAGACCGAAAATTATTTTCGGTTGGACATGTAGTGGCTGCTTAGGGTGAAGTGCAAATTATTAAAACAACAACAAAAACACCTCACGGTATTATAAGCGGGCGTTATGGATCATTACGCCCGCTGGGCTTATAATGCCCTCAGGTTGTTATAGGTATGTTAACGTATTTCGTTTCCTAGGTATTATGGATCTATAATAGTTAAGTAGAAAATAATAGCTATTTATGTACCAAGGGTATTATGTAGATTATAATGCCCGAAGGCGAAATATATCCCTCGGGCCCTAAAAATTCCCGTGGTGCATACAATGCTTTATTTTCTATTCAACACAATGTTCTTTCATCAATTTAGTATCAAACAAAATCAGTTAAATTTGTGTGACAGAATATTGTTTTCTATTTTGACATATACCTGGTATCTGTACCTAGAAACGAAATAAATTAATATAACTATAAACATCTCATAAGGCAAGGCAACAGTGGTCGTGTGGGTTAACGCACTCGACTACATGGGAAACGTTGATGGTGGACCGAGTTCGAATCCTGGCCAGACCAAAAATTATTTTCGGTGGGACATTTAGTGGCTGCTTAGGGTAAAGTGCAAATTGATAAAACAACAACAAAAACACCTCACGGTATTATAAGCGGGCGTTATGGATCATAACGCCCGCTGGGCTTATAATGCCCTCAGGTTGTTATAGGTATGTTAACGTATTTCGTTTCCTAGGTATTATGGATGTATAATAGTTAAGTAGAAAATAAATTACTTTAAGTGATGTATAAAGGAGTATTCTCGCTTATGCTGCATCATAACTACATTGCACTTCATTGTACCGCAAAGTGCTGCCTCGAAAGTTAAACATGTTGCTTTTCAAACGGTGTATAATGACAGAGAAGTTATCCATTATATATAAAAGAAAATTGGTCAGGTTAAAGCAAGCTGCGGTGCGGTGCAGTGAAGTTTGATGCTGTGCAAGTGAGAAAACTCTAATCTTATAATCCGGCAGAGTATAACACTTACGGTGCTCAAGCTTAACTTAACCGTAGTTTACCTCCAAGAAGATGTTGCAACAAAATATATTGTCACCTTCATCAGCATAGGTTTTATATGACGGTCTTTCAACATAACCATTACTATGTTAGCGCCAATATTCACAAATTTTTCGACTTAGATATAAATCGTTTGAAAATAAAGGCTGTGGTCCGAATACAACCAGGGTTGTGGTTTCGCGGTCCAGAAGTAATCAAATTATTCTGGTTCCTGGAAAAATGGTTACTTTTGGACTTTGGTTTCCTGAAATCTGGTTAACCAAATATCAAAATAGTTACCGGCTACCGGATGTCGGTTCTCTTGGGCTTATCTGTAATTTCTGTCAATTATTTTTTATTTCATATTCGCGTTCCCCAAGTAACCGGAATTATCAGTAACCATCTGTCAACCGATTCGGTTACTTTGGTTAATGTTTGGTTATATTCGGACCATAGCCAAAATATTGTATTTCATTCGAAGTATAAGTTACTTTTATGGATAAAATTCGCCTTGCTGCGCTCAGCATTTAAACTCCGATACTCCGTCACATAAAGTATAACTTATAATCCTAATAAAATAAATATCTATTTTTATCGACAACAGTGTCAGTGGTGTAAAACATAATGAACCAGTGGCGGCTCGTCGTATAAAGCAACTGAGGCCGGGCCTCACATGTAAAAATTACAATAATAAAGTAAAATTTTTATTAAATATTTAACGTTTTTCAACTATTTTCAATCATTAAAAGAATCAAAACATCGAATTTTCATTAAAATATAATACTATTTCTTGAATCTAGCGCGCGCTTCTACCTATTTATCCTTATAGGCGCTCAAATCGTTGCCGGACAGCATTAAAATAAAATAGCAATCCCAAAAATTTTGGCCTCATGTGCGTCACAGAACGCCGAAGCGATGCCACGGCACTCCCCACCACAACGCTTCAACTGTAGGTGAGACGATAGCGAATTTTTATAGGCATTGAGGCGCACAATTTTGGGCTTGTTAATAAGAAACCTTGCATCGCTTGCTGCTGCGACAAGTATTTAATTGGTTAATTGGCTCATATTTTTTATTTTGGTCTGTTGCGGGTTAAAAAACTGTTTTTTGGAATTTATTTTGTTAATTTGAAACTCAATATTTGTATTAAAATAAGAATTAGGTAGCTACTGCTGTTGTTTTGTAACTGTAAGAAATGAAAATTTTCATTAGAAATATACAAAAAAAAATATCCGAGATGTTCTTTTGATGAAATTTTGGGTCAAAATTTGGGCGTAACACTTGAAAATTTTCTTTGGGTTTGTTTGGGTTAACTTGATGGGCCATGGGCCTCACCAGTTTGGATTGTCACGAGCCGCCACTGTAATGAACTGAAATATATTTTGTGAAAATTAAGACATCAAAACTAAAACTTACAATATCCGACTGTCATCAACAACATAATATTGTTACCCATTCATTAAGTATTGATACAATACAGTCTATTTAAAACAAATTTATTTATTGTCCTTATTGCTATGTCCACTTAATTGCCTTTCGATAGCTTAGGACCATTCAATTTCCATAATAGCCTAACTGAACATCTTTTAATAAATAAAAATAATAAAATTTTCTTCATGCAAAAATAAAAACTTGATAACCAGGAGACCCAATGCTTGAGAATCCATTCAGTCTTTGTTTTGAAAAGACTTTGAAGCTTTGTGTATTTTTATTAGAGATATTTGAAGTGATCGCCATATCTAACAGTATTTCTCAAAATGTTTTTTTATTATTCTGGAACAGAACCTCAGAGGTTGTGCTTGCGTGGTGTAAATATTCCAGAAATCACACATAAAAATCTGCCTTGTTTATTTTGTTGTTTAATCCATTAAGAATTTATCAATTAGGTTCAGGTTAGATAAATAGAAGCCGAAACGACAAACTGAGAAATGGGGAATTGGGCAGGATTGGCTCAATCAAAGTAATATTAGAAGTGACCCTGAGAGAATGCAATCACGCGTGTAGTACAAAGAACGAAAACTAGAAAAATATTTTTTCTACTACCGTGCGTAAAGTACTCACTTTACGCACTATTCAGAAGACGTAAAATTTCATTTCATATGTAATCCACTTTACACACTTGTTGCATAAATAACTATTATTTTGAACCATATATATATGTAATTTTCACTTTTCTTACTGGTATTATGAAGGTTTGAAAATGTATCCTTACTTTTGTTTACTTTAAAGCAGGCCGAAAATGACAGTTCTCCCGTCACTTTCGGCCTGGAGAACTCACTTTCAGCCTCATGAATTATTCTTCCACACCTTAACACGAATCCAGGTGCAATGTTTGTATCTAGAAGTAGATGTCACATGTGTTTATATTGTTGAAATTTCATAAGATGTCAATGTCGGTGTCAGAGTTAATCTGTGATCAGAGTGTCGAAATTCCATTTTTGTCATATTTTTACCATTTTTTTTCCAATAAATTAATGGTTCAAAATAAAATAGTATAGATATTTCGCTGGAAAGTTTTCACATATATTGTTTCGAGAATTGGTTGACCTCGGCGCTTCGCACCTCGGCCATAGTACCTCTCGACAATAATGAAACACTTTCCACCTCTGCATGTAATATACTATTACTACAGTCGGGCTCCTTTTCAATAGTACTAGGAATTGTGTTTGACCACAAGCTAACTTTTGTGGATCATATTGATTATATTTGTAATAAAGCTCTGAAAATGTTAGATTTTGTAAAAAGACATACCAAAGATTTCAAAAATGTATTTGCTCTCAAAACTTTGTATGTGTTTCTTTAGATCTCAACTGGAGAATAATACTTATGTATGGCCACCATACTATCAGTGTCATAGAGATAGACTAGAAAGAGTGCAGCGCAAATTTTTGTGTCACAATAGATTCAGATTGGGACTTGATGTTGAAACATAAATACTTATGATCTTCTGAACATGCTGAATATAGAGTTTTTGAATAAAAAGGAGAATTAATTTTGATAAAGTATTTATTTATGAAATACTAAATAACAATATAGATTGTAGTGACCTCCTGTAACTTGTTCATATTCATACTCCTGCTAGATCACTTGGAGTTGTGAATACATTTAGTATTGAAAACAATCGCACCAATTATGGTCAATTCTTATCCATAAATAGAATGATGTCTCATGCAAATGAATTGAGAAATGACTTGTTTCCTTGTACTTCCTTAGGGCGGCGCTTAATAATCAATAGATTAGGTACCTAACCTACATATTTTAGTGATTTGATCATCAAATCACTAAAATATAACAATGGAACATCAAATTTTGATGTTCCATTGTTATTTTTATGATTGGTGTAAATGTAGTTTGTATTTTATAATTTGTTTGTCATATATTGTGTATTTGAATTTTTTTCAACATTTTATTCTTAGATCTATTTTTTGTAAAATTGGAATATTCCCGTTGATGAATAAATAAATAAATAAATAAATAAAGTATATATCACTATCACATATATAAAAATCCATGTTTGTTTGTTTGTTCGTTGTTCATGGACTCGGAACCGCGGAACCGATCTCCTTGAAATTTATACCATGTAGTCTCTATACTGGGTGCCCACGAGATTACTTTCCGGCTGCCATTTTTTTATTTTTTCATTGATATCAACGAAACTTGGTAGGCTTGATATTCTAACGAAATGCCATTTTTGTGCATTTATGACAAGTTTTCCTGACTTCCGGTTTTACCGGAAATTACCGAAACTTTCGATTTTCAAATGGCACACCCTGTATATTTTTTGTTTATTGGATTCTACAGATCGTTTTAAGTCCTAATGTACTACTTTTAAATCGAACTTTGTCCAAATTTCGTTTTCAAATTGAATTTTAAGTAGAAAAAAATAATAACCTACATAATAAAACAAAAATATTTGAACGAATATTAAGAAAAATGTCGTAGCGTATTATATCGTTGGATTCGCTTCAAAATACTGTATTTAGTAATGTTATGAAAGTGATATGTTCCTATTCTAGTTTTTGAGCTAGGGCAAAAATACTAAAATAATGAAAGTTTACAGCCCTCTATCAAAAAAGTTTACAAAGATAAAATTCAGTTTGTATTTTTCTGAAATTAAGTAAAGTATGTAGAGCCATTTTAGGATGATCATGGCACTCTAGTTAAAAAATTAAAATTTAATTTAAAAACAAAATTTGGACAAAACTTGATTCAAAAGTGGTGCATTAGGACGTAAAACGATCTGTAGATTCCGAAAAACAGAAAATCTACAGGGTGTGCCATTTAAAAATTAAAAGTTCCGGTCATTTCCGGTAAAACCGGAAGTCAACAAGACCTGTCAATAATGCATAGAAAAGGCGTTTGGTTAGAATATCAACCCTACCAAGTTTCATTCATATCGATAGACAAATAAAAAAAATGGCAGCCAGAAAGTGATCTCGTGGGCACCCGGTATAAAGGGGAGTGTTATAGGCTACTTTTTACTCTGGCAAAATGCACAATTCCTGTGGGATCGATCTGAAGCGTAAAACTTAGGTTAGTTTAAAACTGGGAGGCGTAGTAATGCATGTTCTTGATACACTCCAGCTGGCAAATATTGGGTCTCTTAGTTACTTAGCCTTTGGCTGCGATAAAAAAATAAAATAATGCATAAAATCTTCTAACTACAAAGTGTGGGTGGGCATGGGTAAAAAGTTTCTTAAAATAGGTACCTAAAAAAAAATTATGTATAAAAAATTGGCCTAATTCTCAGTGCTCACTGGTTCTCTGGCATGATGAATTTGCACGTGTTTATTGTGATTAGACTTTGTTGTCGAAGTCTTACCACAAATATGACATGAATATGGTCTTACCCCACTATGCACTCGCATATGATCTTTTAAATAGTAAGAACGATGAAATGATTTATCACATACATTGCAACTGTAGGTCTTAGCGTTTTCGTGCTCCTTCACGTGCCTCTGACAATTTGATTTTCTAATAAACTGGGCCCCACAATAGTTGCAAGTGTAGGGCCTCAAGCTCTTGTGCGAATTTAAATGAGAAATATAATCAGTTTCGCGAATGTAAGCTCGTTTACACTGCTCGCACTTGAACGGTTTTTGGGTGCGGGACGCGTGAGTCCATCTGTGCGACTTTAGATTCCATTTAGTTGAGAATGTTTTGTTGCAAATCGGACAAGTGAACGGTTTTAGGTTGGTGTGAGTTTTAAGGTGAGCATCCAGAGATGATTTTAGGTAAATTCCCTTGCATACGTGACATTCTGCGTTTGACTGAAACAAAAAATAATCGTCAGTAAGTACATAAATTAGCTTTGCGAGTGTTTAGTGTGCTATCTCATAATATGTCTTTTATTTTATAGTATAAGTTAAAAGATAAGCCAGCAGTAGCACTCAGTAAGTAGAATATTTTTCTGGTCGTTTAGTGTATGGTTGAATGTCACATTGGAATAGCTTTGATTATCACATACCACATAGTAATTGGTAAGATTAAAAACACATCTTACTGTAGACTGTATTCTCTATTTATTTTATTCTAGATACCTACTAGATGTTTCACAAACTAGTCAGAAGCTCCTTTGCATTCAGGTATATAGATAAATGTAAAAGGCCTATGGGTTGATTTGAAAATATCCTCTGAATGCTTTGCTGTCACATCCTATAAATATAGTAGAGTAAAAAGAGACAACCTAAATGTAAAAATCCCCGATCAAGTCACGGAACACACCGAGGACGAAAATTCGCAAAGAACCGGACAATGAGTATCGGAACGTGGAATGTCCAGGGAATCGCAACAAAAACTAAAGAAATCTTGGATATTGCAAGACTAACGGAAACAAAAAAGAAGAGACAAGGCACAGAGGAAAAGGACGGATACATTTATACAGGGTGTTTGGTACATCGATAGGAAGTTTTCAATGAGTGCTAGCTGGGGTCGTTTGGAAGCTGTTTGACCACATTTACCCCTATGGAAAGTTTTGTCGTTTTTGAGATATCAGCATTTTTAGATATTTTTGGGAAATATTTGAATTGTTCTTACAACAAACGGTTTTTTTCTTTTTTGACTTTAACCTTTCCCAATTTTTTTTTCCGATATTCCTAATATTCACTCTTTTGGAAAAATACGGAAAAAAAAACAAATAATTGATACAAAAAATATGTAGCCCCCAAGTTATGTGTTAAAATACATGAATTCAAAATATCTAAAAACGGCGAAATTTTGCATGATGTTAAATATGGTCAAACAGCTTCCAAATGACCCGAAATATCACTCATTGAAATATTCCTATCGATGTACCAAACATCCTGTATATACAGTGGAGTATACCCAAAGAAGAACGTGCACGTAGTGGAGTAGTTATAGCAATCAAAAGTCAATACAAGAAAGATATCAGCTGGAACCAAATTTCCGATAGAATCCTCCAAGTACAGCTCAAACTGAAGTCGCATAACACAGTGATCATCGTAGCATATGCACCAAATACGACGCCGATGCGGCTAAAAAAGATGCATTTTATCTAGAAATGACAAGATGCCTAGAACAAATAGGTGATCGAAAGGAAATAGTAGTATTGGGAGTTACAGAGTAACGAATTGAGATATTTTCTCTATTGCTATTGACGTCTCCTCTCTATTGATTTCGACAAGAGAAAAGAAGACATCAAGTGCCATAGCGATAGGGATAACGGTCTCTATCCGTTACAGAGTTCTAGCCAGCCGGCTGAATACTCGCATAGGGTGCAAGGCAAATGACAGTATTATAGGACGATACGGCGAAGAAATGAATAACAATGGCGAAAGGCTTATAGAGCCTTACCAACAAACCTCTATGAAAATACTGAATGGGTGGTTCAAACACAAGTCAATACATAAATACACTTGAACTTGACCCAGACTCAACCTTAAAAATGTTATAGACAGGGCCGGTACTTTTGCTCTCGATTAACGAATTATACGTCGTCAAAGTTTTGCATGGGCCAAGGTCTATATGTATGATGTGGTTAGAGCACATTCAAACTCCTGATTATTTCTAACGGCTGTCAAATGAGAGCAAAAATACCGGCACTAGGTCGTTGTCAAACAGGCGGCAAAAATAATACCAAAAGACGTGAGGGTACTCAGAGATGCTGAGTGCGGATCCGACCATTACCTTTTAGTTGCTAAGATATTTCTTCCATTCAAGACAGACTCCGAAGAAATTCGGCATGAAAGTTCTTCAATTAAAAAAAGACCCAAACCTAATTCAATCTAATATCTAGAGCTTACAGGATGCCTCCACTCGCTTCCTAAACCAAAGACTTGCTCCTAAGCTTGCAAATATCATAAACGATTCTGCCAATAACGTATACGAGGCTGTTTAAAGGGCAATCCACGAAGCCGCCTTAGAAGCATTAGGAGAATTCCAGAATAATAAAAAAAAAGGCAAAAGTGTGAGTTGTGGTGGACAGACGAAATGGAAGCGGTTGTGGGTGAGAAGAAATTGGCATACAACAAATGGCACAGCACCACAACGCAAGAGTATCTGGACAATCATAGAGACAAGAGAAAGAAAGCAAAAAGAGAGATCACGAGAGCTAAAAACGAAATCTGGTTGAAAATGGGCGATGAAATAGACATGGGAAATACACGGGCCCACAAAGCTTGGAAAATATTGAAATCTATGAGAACCCAAGGCAAGGACAAAGCGGGTATTAGTCTCATAGGCATCGAAGATTGGATAGATCATTACAAAAATCTTTTGTCGGAAACAAGAATACCTTTTCTAGAAGGACAAGGAAATTCAGGACTAGACGTAGATGAGAACTTACACGTGCCGTCAGTTATCATGCAGGAAGTGAAAAAAGCAAACGCCATGAAGAGTGGTAAAGCTCCAGGTCCTAACTGGCTGTATATTGAACTTGTGAAAGTTGCTCCAATAGAACTATTCAAAATCATCGCGACAATTTTTGACAAATGTTTGAAGGGAGATACATTCCCAAGTGAATGGAAAAGGACAGCCATCACATCCATCTATAAAAAAGGCAGCAGAAAAGACTGCGCGAATTATAGATATCAGCGTTATGCCGTCCATAGCTCGAATGTACGGACGCATAATAAAAGAGAGATACAAGAGAATCTGAAGAACAAAATGGATTCAGACCTGGACGCTCGTGCATCGATGGTGTATTTACGCTTAGAAATCTTGTTGAAAAGAGAACGGCTAGAGGACTCACGACCCATTTAGTTTTGGTCGATTTGCAAAAAGCATACGACACTGTTCCGCAAAGCAAGTTGTGGACATCTATGGTAAATAATGGTGTAAATTATTCTTATGTGAACGCCGTTAAATCATTTCACACCAATTGCACTAGTATGATAAAAATGGGCAACCAGGCAGCTATCTGATGAGTTTCTAGTAACAAAAGGCCTTAGGCAAGGCTGCACCTTAGCGCCAACCCTTTTTAAAATACATATATCTGGAAGATGTTTTTAAAATCTGGAAGAGACGATGCAGAGGAATGAGCATACCAATAGGAGAAGAGATTCTCCATACGCTGTTGTTTGCCGACGACCAAGTTCTTATAGCTGGAAATGGTGACGACGCGGAGTATATACTACGCAAAGTATATGAACGATGGGACCTAGTCCTAAATATGTCAAAGACAGAATATTTGAAAGTGGGAGAAACTTACCTAGAAGATCTTGCTATTGACAGTGGCACTGTAAAAGGATGTAAGACATTCAAGTATTTTGGCGTTACAATCTCGGCTGACGGTAACAGCCTAGAAGATATCAACAACAAAATAGGACAAGGGAAACGAGCTATTAGACAACCGAATAGCGTTCTTTGTAACAGCAATATAACCAGAAGAACTAAGCATATTATTAACCGCTCAATAGTAGAGAGTTCTAGCACTTATGGATCGGAAATTTGGAAGCTGAACCAACGACAAAAAGAACACCTACTAGCCTTAGAAATGGACTTTCGGAGACGAAGTTGTGGAATATCTAAGTTAGACCACGTGAGGAATCAAACCATCAGAGAAATAATGGATGTACAAGGTTCCATAATAGATACCATAGAAAGAAAGCGACTCCTATGGTATGGTCACTTAGAACGCATGGGCCCCAATAGATGGCCTGAAAGAGTATGGCCGTGGACTCCGCCAGAAAGACGGAAACGAGGAAGACCCCCAAGATCCTGAAGACAAGATGTGATAGAGGCCATAGAAGCAAGAGGCCTCAATGATGGCGATTATAACGACAGGTAAAGATGGAAATCGGGAAGTAAGAGGCGGCGATAGCCGTAAAAGACTCAATATTTATATACAGAGTGGGGACTTTAACTGGAACTAATTCGCTAGAGCCTTCGGATAAAATATGTGGATAAAACGCAAAAACACGTCGATTAAGATTTTTTGCCTAGGATTTTTTTACATCATTTTTTTATACATGGTGTTCCGAGAACAGCTGTACGGTTGTCAATTTTATTTTTTCAAATAATAACACCTGTATATTATGACATTTTTGGATTCTGCGGAAAATTCTAGACATATTTTATGTAGGTACAATGTCCTATACTTATCTTCACCTGTTTCGGAAATATTGACAGTTGAAAATTGACTTTTTTGCATCTTCCAGATAAACCTAAATGGTTGATTTTACAGCAAAACCGATCATACATTTTGATTTCATTTGACACAAACTTTGAATTTAAACTATGATTAAAAATTCCGTCAGCCAATCAAAGTTGCCAAAAAGTCAATTTTCGACTGTAAATATTTCTGAAACAGTTGAAGATAGGTATATGACATTATACATGAAATATTTCTAAAATTTTCCGCAAAATCCAAAAATTTCATAATATACAGGGGCTACCATTTAAAAAAATGAAGTTGATAACTTTACAGCTCTTCTTGGAACAGCCTGTACACCTACCAAAATTAATGTGAAAAAATCTTAAGCAAAAAATCTTAATCGACGTGTTTTTGTGTTTTGTCCATATATTTTATCCGAAGGCTCTAGCGAGTCAGTTCCAGTTAAAGTTCCCACCCTGTATATAAAAAGAGACAGGACCTTATCGCTTAGTACCGACACCCTGAATATAGGGTTGTACGTTTGCAATGGTGGTGTGTACCCAGGGGTACCAATGGGACGCTACCTGGGGTGCCTGTCCGAATTAGACAAGCGTCAAGAAACAGTGGTTGTCTCTTTTAAGTTTACTTTCTTTATAGCATGTGATAAGAAAAACGAACATCTTCCACATTTCTAGGGCGGTTTTCTTAATTGTGATGGTTTGCATATTTTTATTGCCTATTATGCCAAATTATTTCGACTCTACTATAGACCAAATGATTTAATTTATTGATACAACTTAAACAAATTCCTTTTTCACTAATAACAGATAGATACATAAGGTAAAGGCACCAGTCTTCGACAGTGCTTCAGTGTTCGACACTTTCAAATAAAAACTTTAATAACTAGACAACTATTTATATTTTCACTCCTTTCTGTAGGATGAGCCTAATAATTGCTACTTATGTTGTGTTTAAAATTAACTTGTTCAGAGAGAGGGAGGGGAGTGGGGATAGGATAGGAAAGGATGGGAAAGGAGGGAAGGGGATTTCAGAAGCGGAGCCTTTAGATTTCTGAGAGTAGTTCTGTCAGGGTTAATAGTAAAATTATCGTCAAATAAGTGTTTAATGATGTCATTATATTATGTTTAGTTACTGTGTCAAGAAACCGAGTATGTTTCTCAACAAAGTATTCCTGAATTGTGTCAACGCTCAGATCCGTATGAAGGTCGGCATTGCGAACATACCACGGAGCGCCGACCATCCTATAGATTATTTTATTTTGAAACACCTGCAGTTTCTTTTAGTTTTGCCGTGATGTCTGTGAGAAAACTGGTCTACCGTGAAGTAATGAAGGTCTGATCACTTGTTTGTATAGTAACAGTATTTAATTTAATTGGTCCATGTTATTTCTGAATCGTCCAGTATCAGGATTGGCAATAGTGTCATGAGGAAAGTTGTTTTTAACAAAAATTGCAGTACCACCACCAGCACGGTTAGGTCTGTCATTTCTCTATATAGTGTGGTTTTGTATGTTGTAAATTGTGTGTGGTCTGAGCATAGTCTCCTGGACTAATGCTACATCAACATTATCCTCGTGTGGGAAGGATGCAAACTCGAATCTTTTGGGAAAGATAGAGTTTGCATTCCAAGAGATTATGTATAGTCTCGTCGGTTTAGCTGTGTCACCCATAAGGTTATGTTAAGTTAGGTCAAAAGTTTAAGGGTGGGATGATTATTAATCATCGCTGCCACTTTGTCGAGTTTATTTGAGATCTCTTGCTCTGAAACAGTCAAGAGACTCATAATGTAGGTAGAATTTGTTTGTTTAGGTGCGGTATGATATATAGTAGTTGTGTTGTTGTTTGTTTTCATTTTTTGAGAATAACTTATATTGGGGGTTGTTGTTTTGAACAAGGCTGCTGTGTCCCTTAGAGGAGACGAGCTTTGAGCCGGTGTTGGTTTGGATGTAGCTGAGTGAATATTTTTGTTGGGACACTTTGGACAATTCAAGTAATTGGCCGGATGTGCACCACCACAGTTGACACATCGTCGTTAATTTCACTAATGGGCGTATATTGAATTTCTCAAATTTTACAAGCGTATGATATACGCCTTTTAGGAAGATGCATATTTCTGGTTTCAAAACATACGTCATAAGAAAATGTGTATAACTCAGAAACTATTAGCAGTTCATAGGCGTCAATTAGAGAGCATATAAATTTGATGTTTTGCGACATAAATTCCTTGAAAACAAAAAATCGTCTATTTCTCATATACGTCCCTTTGTCAAATTAACGACGACATGTGCAGGAAGAAGTCTTGTCTTTTTTACAGTTTTTGTAAAAATGACTATCAGCACACATTACAATCTGATTAGGGATGCAGAATGCTGGCTTTTTTCACTTTGGATTAGGCAGTATGATTGCATAATAAAGTTTTATGTATCAACAGCATTTTAATAGCCTTGATTGACGAAAGTTTAACTAATTTTCCCGCAAAGTATCCAAATAAAGGTGTTTAAACGTTTTTTTTTTTATGTTTTTTTTTTTATGTCGATTATTGGGGTGTTGGTAACTGGATAATTAGTGTCGATATCTGGTTACCTCAAAAATATATCCAAATCACATAACAACGCCTAATAATGTCGATTACTGGTGCCTTTAGCGTAGATAGAAATAAATATTTGTTTGAAATAACAATTCACTTCAATAAAGCTACACGATCAATAAAACTTAACAACTCACCAAAGATGGATCTCTACTGTCAGGCAAATATTCAGCATTATGAGCCCTCCTCATATGTCGTGTCAAACTAGCCATATGTATAAATTTCTCGCTACACTGAGTGCACGCTTTCGGTTTGGCATCGTGAATTTCCTTGTGCCAGGCCAATTTTTTTTTTGAGTGGAACACCTCACCACAAAAGCAAATGTAGTCCTTAATTTTACGTTTTATCTAGAAGAAATGATTACACCAATATTGGAAAAAATTAAATTTTATGTCATAAAATATTTTACCATAAAATGATGTTTATTTCTATGCTGAACCAAGTTTGAATGCCTTTTAAAAGATTCAGTACACATTGAGCATTTAATAGGAGAATTACCAGTGTGACAATTTCTATGCTCTTCCAATTTTTGCTTCACTAAAAAGGCCTTATCACAGAGGTCACATTTGAAAGGTTTAATTCCCAAATGTCGTGCCATGTGCAATTTGAGGCCTTGTCTCCTGGAAAAGCAAAAAATATGTCAGTATAATTGAAACTATGGATTTTTCAAATTAAACTTGCCTGTAAAATAATTTTCCGCACATTCGACACTCTAAAGGATGTATTTTAAGATGCTCGTTAAATTTGTGTTCCATATCGAAAACTTCTTCACATACTTGGCATTTGGTCACTTTCATTCTTATTGTTTTGTGAAATTCTCTATTATGCATCATTAATTCTTTTTTAGTCCTAAATGCTATATTGCAGTTTACACAGGAAATTATTACTGAAATTTTTGGTTCTTCTTTTATTTCTTCTTTGTTTTCTACAATATTTGACAAATAACTATCAGAGCCCAATATAAATTATCATTTCACTTACCTAATCCCATATTATCCACATCCTCTTCATTCTCAACCTTTAGTCTACTAGTGAACACATTGTCAAAATTAGTCTCTTTTTTTGGTTTCTTTGGCTTAATAATCAATTTCTTGACTTTCTTTTTATTAATATCCAATCCAATAGGTCTACAAGGTAGAATAGATTTTTCTGATGTTATTGTTGAGTTGCTTTCTTTTGGTTCTTCCACTTTCAATGGATCTATGTCCACTGTAGCTATATTTAGTTTACTGTCATGTTCCTCAATAAATGGCATAGCTTCCTCACTGCTATCCCAAGAATTATTGTCATAGCAACCCACACTGCCTGGCTCTTGATAATGCTGAAGTTGGTTCCAGGTAATGTCACTTGTACTTCCCATACTTTCTTGTCCTGATAGTTCTCCTCTTGCAGGCATTTTCTCATCTGATCTAATATTAACATCTTCATTCTGATTAGCTAAAACTTTATGATCCAAAATTTCAACATTTGTTTCACTCTGGGTGTGATGCCTTGGTGAAACCACCAAATTTCCATTGATGTTCACCAAAATTGGGGCATTGTCTTGAAGATTTTCAAAATTGTGAGAAGAACTGGAAAAATCGCCAATAATCACTTGCATGCCTTCAATTTCGTCCATGGTCATAAATTCCATGGCGTCTGTGTTGTTTATTATGTTAGCAGACGTGTAAATAGGTTCAGACTGTTCAAAAGATGAATGATGCTCTTCAGATGTGTATACGTTGGACATGTTGCTTCTTTGATCCACGAAAAAGTAGTCGTTTCTGGGTTCAATAGGTTCTTCATTGTGTGGCATTGATCTGGAATAAGGAAACTTTTTGGGAAGAGTTCTGCGTATCAATTACTGTATTCCTTTTAACCGTTGAGTTACTCGGAGCTACTCAATATCAAAAGCATGAACATTCTTTTAAAAGTGCGTTAAGCACTTGAGTCGCTCATAGTGCATCCCCCTTGCCCCTGAAGCACCAAATTTGCGGAGGGTGCAAAAAACCCTTTTAGGTAATGTAAATATTGAAGTATAATATTTTGTGTTTTGGAGTGACTCCGAGGAACTCTAGAGCGACACGTTCGGTGTAACTCGATGTTAAAAAGGAATACAGTAAATACCGTTAAACTTTTGCTGCTGAGCTAGATATTTCAAGCTATGACACGTATTAATACATTTTTCCAAATAGTTATTTTTCTTTTGGGGAACTGGTCTCTTGTCTCTTTTACCGCTATTCCTTTTATGCAGGCTGCTTCTTAAGTAGTCAAGAAAATTCATGAAATTACCTTAAGAATCACCCTGTATAAAATACAAGACACCAACAAAAATTATTAACCATTATTTTGTTCTAGCCCTTACCTTGGTGATAGATTTGTACTATTCTGAGTCTGGCAGGCTTTATTCAAGTCCTGACTAAAAGTCCAACCAGAATTAGAAGCATGCGATATCGGCGCTTGCACGCATTCTTCATGATCAACAAATTGTGTGTGATAATGAGAACTATTATCATTTTGTGAATGAAAATAGTGCTCAGAAGATCGGCGTGAAAAAGTACTTTCGGGTCTTTCTGGTTCTTGTTCCACTTTGTATACTGAGTCCGTGTCATCTTCGTGACTATCACTGCCACTTAGTGGATCTTCTTCTTCTGAAATGTGTGCTGTTTCAACTTCAATTTTGGATGGAATCAATTCTGGCTCATCAAGTTCAATTTCACTCATACTATCTTCTGTAATTTCACTAGTAGCTTCTGTTGTTAGTGGGTCCTTCTCTTTTTCCACGTCTTTATCTACTATTTCCTCAGTTTTTTCAACTTCTTTTTCTCTACTAGCATTAACTGGAAGATCAGAATGTCTGCTTATTGAAGCTGCTCCATTTATCTGCAGTGAATTTGAGATTTCAAAAGGCAATGCCCTTACATGGGGGGACATGCCATTACTGGCCATTATGAATTGTTGTTGTTGATAAAAGTAAGGCATCATTTGAGGATTATAAACGGCTGGTACCAAATATTGCTGTGTAAAAGGATTGAATGGAGCTATGCTAGTTTGATGAGGCGAAGAAGTACTCATACTTTGCTGATACATGAAAAAGTGATTGCCTGGAACTCCCGGAAGGGCCATATTTGTAGGGTGTCCCACTGTCACTTGGTTCATGAAGGGCGACATTTGAGGAACTGATGTTTGATTCTGAGGTATTGCTGCAATTTAAAATATGTACATTTGGGAAAACAGTTGAATAAAAATCCCAGAGTTACCTTCTGCAACGCCATTTTCAGGATTTTGAGAATTATGTACCTTCTGAGCATCATCTAAGAAGGACAATTTCACCAGTGCGTCTATCACTTTTTGTTTAGGATGACTGGTTAAATGTTGTTTTAAAGTGATGCCTGGCCTAAGATACAATGTGCAAATGGGGCACGTTGTGGTGTCAGTTGCCTGCTGCATTTTGACAGAAGGTTTAAAAAATTAAAAAATAAAAACAATTTTGGAGTAAAAAAAAACTTTGGCTGCAAAGGTACCAACTGAATCAGCTGTTGTTCAAGGAAACTGGAGCCATTTTACCTGGAAAAGAAAAAAATATTTAATTTTTTTCACAATATAATAATAACGCCCTGATTGTCTGAGGCGTTGTGTGAGTGTGCTATAACTTCAGTACCTCATATACCACTTTATACAGTGCGGCCGTAAAGTAAGAAATAAATTCCATAATTATTCTTCTAAGCAATTTTTTCAAAAATCCTTGAACACGTCAATTTTATTTTTTGTCGAGCATTTTTTAAAAAATAAAATCATTATACAGGGTGGTCGCAGAAAAGCTGGACAGGTAGTAACTTTTTTTTTTTTAATAGACACCCCTAATTTTTTTTTACATTTTCGGATTTCTGATAAAATTCTAAGTATTTTTCATGAAACATGTCCTATACCTAAATTCAACTGTTTCGGAAATATTGACAGTTGACAATTGACTTTTTTGCAAATTTGAGAGGTTGATTTTACATTCCTATCTCAGATTTTCATAAGCTATCATTTGACACCAACTTTGAATTCAATCCGAGATTAAATTTAATTGGAATTTTTAATCATGGATTAAATTCAAGGTTGGTGTCAAATGATAGCTTATAAAAATCTAAGACAGGAATGTAAAATCGGTTTTCCTCTAAAATTAACCGTTTAGGTTTTACAGCCTCTCAAAGTTGCAAAAAAGTCAATTGTCAACTCTCAATATTTCCGAGACAGTTGAATTTAGGTATAGGACATGTTCCATGAAAACTACTTAGAATTTTTTCAGAAATCCAAAAATGTAAAAAAAATTAGAGGTGTCTATTTAAAAAAATTAAGTTACTACCTGTCCAGCTTTTCTGCGATCACCCTGTATAATAATTTTATTTTTTGCTTAGAAGAATGATTATTGAATTTATTCCTTACTTTACGACCGCACTGTATAAGACAACTGGGTCAAAGATGGAGCAATTTTTCACATAGTAACGCCTGTACGAGAAATTGCAGGAAATTGTATATATCCAGCATTCATCATAGTCCAAAGACCCTTTTTTAAAAAGACGGTTGCAAACGGCACTTGTGAAAAAGTTAAATATATATTTTTTTAAATTTATTTATTGCTAAATTTTACAAAAGTAAAAATTATTTATCTGGCAGGGACCTCTCAATTTCATCCTTTTTGCTTAAACTAGCAAGAGTAACTATAATACAAAGCACTAGTAAACAAACACATACTCATGTAAATACAGCACTGGTAGCCAGCGCGTCGGCCACAGTGAATTTGTAGACTATGTAATTCAAAATCGCATCTGTCCCCATCAATGAAATTTAAAAAATGTATCGGATAAAATCGAATCATCGCCATATATCCTTGGCGCTTTGAGCAATTTCTGTTTTTTCATTTCACGGCGGGCATACTGAGATAAACGACAGACAGGTGTGTACGGCACTAGTATAGAAAGGGCTAGTGACCTTATGGGAGAGGGTTTCCAATATTTATATACATGTTTCACCTGGCTTTTTTTCACAAATTGAGATTGGTATAATCTCCCGTTTTACATAAAAAAAGTTTCATTTAATTGTGGACTTATTGCTCGGATTTCGCATAAAGTCTATTCTGAATATTTAAGCTCTGGAATGTTTCCTAAAAACTTTATATCTATCTTTAAAAGTGATATAATTGAAAACTATCGTGCAATTTCAAAAATATGTTCATTTTTTCATAAGATTCTTGAGCACATTGAGATTAATGAAATTAAACCTCTTCCAGAGCCACACAAAGTCAATATGGCTGTTTTGGTAAGAGGTCCACTATAAATTGTCGCTATATGGCTTATTTGGAAATTTTCTTGAGTGAGTGTGCTAGAAAGTTATGTATCCGAAAGATCTCAGATTGTATTTATTAATGATTGTCAATCCTTTTCTATTAGAGCTTGCTCAGGGGTACCACAAGCGGGTCTCCTATCGCCATTATTATTGCTCAATTTTTTCATTAATTATTTATGACAGTGCATAGAAAATGCCACTTTTTCACTTTTTGCAAATAATTTCAAATTATTTATGGTAGTTTTTCATATTTTTGATAGTTAAAGACATCCGAGGTCTGAACCATTCAGCAAGATCTTGATCATTTTAATTTGTGGTGTACACATAATTGTTTATTCTTGAATGCAGACAAGTCTAATATAATGCGATTTTTTAGACTTAATAATTCTATCCTATAATATTTTAGATTCAATTTAGATTATCAGCAAATCGTCAACAAAGCATTCAAGACTCAAGTGCCTAGGGTTAGTAAAACTCTATAACACATTTTTGTTAGACCACATTTGGAATATGCATGTGTAGTCTTGTCCCCATCAGTTCAATGTTTATCCATATTTTCCATTGGTGGTTTCTTACAGGGAAATGCTAGGTATATTTGAAATGCAACAACTCTCAGTTAAAAGAAGTGTACAAACTATTATTTTCATATTTTATATAATTTATAATAAAAAATTTAAAGACTAATGCATCTGTGCATGAAATAAGAGCGATTTTAAATTAATTTGTTCTCATTTTAGCTGAAATATAGGTGTTGTTTACATACTTACCGAGATATTCACCTATTGTTTTGTTTGTAAGTTATTTAAATTTTACTGTAAACTTTTTACTCTTTCTTGTTTTCTCTGTTTTCAGTTTTAGCATTATTTTTAGTAACCACCCTTACTTGTAATTACCTTTTGGGTGCTTGTCAGGTGTACCTTGAATAAATAAATAAATGCATATTCAATTACTCTGTCAACAATATGATTCTTAATACTTTGGACAAATTCAAAGATCTTGGAGTATGACCATAAAATTGACTTTAATGTTCAAATTGATAACAGCAAGCAGCGAGGAGTTAATCACAACCTATTTAGGTGTACAAGAGATATCTTTATGAAAAAGATATCCGAAGATATTCCTTACATATACCAGATTACCCGGGATCCCCCAGCAAATCCGAGATCAAATCATAAAATTTGATAGTTGAAATGCTCAAAACCTCTATTTTTTTGTCAGCTAAGCTGTATTTTAGTTCTAAATTTGACAAAATTAAAATAACTGTAAATAAGATGATCCTATAGAATCTGAAATTTTTTCTTGAATCATTTCTAGAATCTTCAAAATCTTGTCCATTTAAAATACGCATGACTGCTTTGTTTTGAATCAAAGATTTCTGGAAATACATAAAAGCAAATCACGGAAACCGGTGTGAAGTTAGCAGCCAATTTGACGAATGACCATTGGCGATGCATTTTTTTTTAATTCAAAATAAATTCAGTAAATCATACTTAGACATCGAGTCTAGCCATGAAATTGATGGAGCGCTATTTCAACACCTTTTTCAATCCCTATGCAAAATCCCATTGACTCGCACACCGTCAAAATATGAAAAACTACCCTTAAAAATAAAATTTACTTGTGAAGGGTAGTTTTTCATATTTCGGCAGGGTTTGAGTCAATGGGATTCTGCATGGGGGTTGTAAATGGTGTTAGAATAGTACCCTATTAATTTCATGGCAAGAGTTGAAGCCCGAGTTGGAAACAAATATGAAAATCTGAATATTAAGGCATTTTTATTTGTTAAGGGTAGTTTTGTGTATTTCGACGAAGTTTGAGTCAATGGGATTTTGCATGGGGGTTGGAAATGGTGTTATAATAGTACTCTATTAATTTCATGGCAAGACTCGAAGTCCGAGTCAAAATTTCCATGTAAACACAAAAAATAAGTTCTCATATCCATCTTGGTACACTAGAGAAATAATAAGACACTTAAACCAAAAACAAAGGCTACACAACAATTACAAAAAAACTAAATTAAAAAGTGACTATGACTTTTTTTCGACTCTTAGGCAGACTATTAAAGCAGAAATTGATGAAGCCTACAGATCTTACATAAGAAATACTGAATCATCAATAAAAAGGGAACCTAAGAATTTTTGGAAATATATCCGGCAAAAACGGCAAAAATCTCGTATACCAGGATCAATGATTCTGGACCAATTGTCTTTAGAGTCCCCGCAAAACATAGTGGATGGATTTGCCAATTTTTTCAAAAGTGTATATGTTGCATCATCAGATCCCTTCTCAATTAACCCTGTCGAGCCCTACAACTCTCAAAATATATCCATTAATAATATTTCTCAGCTTGAAGTGTGCAGTGCACTCAAAAAATTAAAAGATACAAAAACTGCAGGTTATGATAAAATACCATCTTTTATATTGCGTGATTGCTCACCGTTTCTATCAGTGCCCTTACATCTTATCTTCAATAAAATTTTAAGAAATAATATATTTCCGGAAAAATGGAAAAAAACTAAGATTTGTCCTGTCTTTAAGGCAGGTCAAAATAATAATATCACTAACTATCGACCTATCTCCATACTGTCCAACTTTTCGAAGGCCTTTGAAATCTGTATTCACAACAATCTCTTCCATCAAGTTAAAAACCTAATATCTCCTACTCAACATGGCTTCTTCCCACAGAGATCAACTATCACAAATCTTACAAGTTTCCTACAAAGAGCTTATCAAGCTATCAATAATAGGAAACAACTTGACGTCATATATACTGACTTTTCCAAGGCCTTCGATAAGTTGGATCATGGTCTCATTGCCCGGAAAATGTACAACATTGGGTTTCATAGGAACCTGGTGAATCTATTTATCTCATATTTGAGTGGGCGAACACAGTTTGTGGAGTACAACGGTTTTCGTTCTGCTGACTTCAGCGCTTCAAGTGGCGCTCCTCAGGGAAGCAATCTAGCTCCTCTAATATTCGCTATTTTTGTGAATGATATCACCGACACTATCTCATCTAACTGTGTACTGTTTGCTGATGATCTGAAGATTTTTAGAATTATTGACATTGACACCATACAGGACTGCTCAGAATTACAAAACGACATTGACTCCCTGTCTTCTTGGTGTATCACAAATAAACTTCCGCTAAATATTAATAAATGCCGTTCTATGACTATTTCCAAACTTCATAATGAAGTGAAGTTTGCATATAGACTTGAAAATACCAATCTTTC